CTCAAATTTTATAAAGTTTGATGTTTAGACATTTAATTTCAGCGGTACCAATTGGATTGTTCAATTGACCCAAAGCTTTCAGTCACACTGTGAGGTGGGGATTGACTCAGCTTTTAACAGAAATGAGTACCAGGAATCTTCCTGGGGGTAAACGGCAGGCAGCTCATAAGGCTGATGCCACCACCATTTGTGTGCTGATTGTCTGTAAAATTTGGGAGCCTCAACATCTCACAACCCTACCAGCCTCCACAGCTTGTTACAAGGGTAACTTTACCTTTATTACCTTTACACTGAGAGGGAAAAGGGGATATGTTAAGAAGAAAATTGCTGTTTATGATTTCACAAATGCAGTTTCAGGCAAATAATCTTTAGGTGGGGTAAAGTTGCCCCTGTGCTTAAGGTATTAAGCACTATGCTATGAAGGCATATGGAGACGTGGATGTATAGAGCCACATTTCCTTGACCCCGGCACTAGCTGGAAGTGAGTGGTCAGCTTCACTACCCGGCTGCTTTGCCCCTGGGGAAAGATCCCCCGGTAACCTTTGGATAGGAGGTTGGGTGGGCCCCAGAACCGGTCTTGACCCTACCGGGCCTCGAACTCCAGCCCGTTGCCAGTCTATACCGACTGCGCTATCCCGGCTCCAATAATCTATAGGAGGTACATGATTTATTTAATCCGTCTTGCAGTGCATACACTCATTTTTCTCCTTCTCTCCCTCGCACTACATGTTTCGGCATAATAATGCCATCTTCAGGTGCTTACTTATCCACGTCAAACCAGTTCATTGCATGCCATGTTCACACATTAAAATAACTAAAATATGTATCTATCATATACATTGTCCAACGTTAAAAATATTAAAATTGTTCAGGATACCACATCGCTACGTCGCCCCTCACTACGTCAGTCACGCCCATTCTCCTTTGTTGGAGCACTCCTTCACTATCTTGTGTGTTGTGGTTTTGTTGTGTCGTGCTCCTGCGACTGCGTGTGTTATACTGTTGGGCTTCCTGGGTATGTNATGTGGTATCCTGAACAATTTTAATATTTTTAACGCTGGACAATGTATATGATAGATACATATTTTAGTTATTTTAATGTGTGAACATGGCATGCAATGAACTGGTTTGACGTGGATAAGTAAGCACCTGAAGATGGCATTATTATGCCGAAACATGTAGTGCGAGGGAGAGAAGGAGAAAAATGAGTGTATGCACTGCAAGACGGATTAAATAAATCATGGACTTAAATCAGTGCAACAGGACGCTAAAATATAACACTATAGGAGGTATTTGAAACTGGACAGCCGGTCCTGACACCTTTTGAATCGGGTGACCTACACGACACTGACATACCGCAAACCAGTTTCCCTGGTTTTTAAATACATAATGCACCGAAAAGTTCACATTGGCAGATAATTTAAGTCAAGTCTTCGATCTGATAATCGATACTTGTTATAATCCATTCGCGGAGACGAGACAGCGCAAATAAAGCTAGCCCCGAGTCGCCACAGCTGACAGCAAGGAGTGGACAAAGCGCGCAGTTACTCAGTGTCCTCACTGCATTCGGACGCACGTTAACCTGCATTCAGACTGAAGAGTGAACTTTGGACGCCCCTGCAATTATACACGCATCACGTGATCGCTGCATGTTTTTATTCAAAGAGCCAAGGAGATACCGCGTGCATTTGTTTATGAGTACGCTCTCGTCTTCGCGAAGGGACTGTAGTATATTATGGTGATGGTTCATGCCGGTACATGTTGCTGAATGTACTGAAGTTGTTACGTTCGTATAGGCGCCGTTGAAAGGGTAAAAGGCGAACCATTGATCGCCATTGACTACTCATCCTACTGATCGAGTACTATGAACGATATGAACGCCATGAACCAAATTAGTCTGCTTCTCACGGACAACCGCTGGAAACCGTGTTCACGGGACGGAGCTTACACCGCTTTCGTGCCGCTTACAGTGGCTTACAGTTAGTTGTGCTGGGTGGCTTTAGTGGCATGGTTGGTTGCGTTATGTGTATTTGTGCACATGCCATCAGGTAATTGAAGTACGTAAGAGCAGAAAATATGGGTATTAATAATTTGTTTACGTGACTCTTACCTGCTAGAATTAGAAGTCGATGTATCGGATATAGAATTGGGCTTGTTATGTCCTTTCTAGGTCTTTGTTGTAGAAGCTTTCTACGTAGTAAGCCCGGTCTTGGAGCCCAAAGGCAAGTTTCTGTCTGCTAGCATGAGTATGATGTACAGGTTGTTAATGTGTGGTATAATAGGTGTTCATATTTCACGATATGTTTCAATTTGTTTGCAACGTGTGGAGTTAGATTGAGAAGCAGGTCATGTATAATAGACAACCTATTAGAAACTGAGTTTATGAAAGCTATCCAAATATTCATTCTTTCTTCAAAGAAGAGAGGTTTGAAAGTAAAACATGATCAGCCAATTTTACTGCACACATCAGTACTGGAACGTGTGTGTGTTCAGCTTTGCAAATGAGTGAATCTACATTTTGAGCTACACAGAAGTAAATTTCACTTCATGTAAGTTTCTATGTGGGTACATGTTATCTGTGATGACATAAATGCTCATTATCTTACCGAAAGTTACCACAAACAGTGTCTGAACTCACTACCAGTCTTACGTTAATAGTTTACTTCCTCCACAAAAATTCAAAGTTACCCCAACACTGTCATCGGTAATATTTTTATAAGCATCTTTATGAAAGATCATATTTATGACTAAGCAGTGATAAATGAATTATCTGATCATGATGCTAAACTTCTAGTTATAGAAAATACTGAATTGATATTAATGCACCACTCTAGCTAGGAAGTTTGGGTTCAAGTCTCAGTCAAACTATGTTTTATTGGTTTTTATTTTCTTTTCCAAATGAAGTTTTCCTTGCTGTGGGTTGAATGGCATGGAGGGCAGAAGGTAGCTCACACAACAATGGGATTATCACATCATTGGGGTTGTAACAATGGAATCTTGGCCATAGTGGATGTTAAGATAAAGGCTCACAACTGGGTCCTGCCAGCTTCTCACGAAGAACTCTGCTTGGCTGTGATAGGGGCCCACCCCTCCTTTCAGTCCAGAGACTGGCAAGTTATTTCACCCCTGCAAATGGACTGAAAATAAGAATAGTTGGCCTGGAAAGAGACCTCTCGTCAGACATGCTGACTGGGAGAGTTTCTTTGAAAAAGTGGTGGAAAGTGTTCCAACAACAGTGTGGACTCATTCCCTGTGGAAAACATCAATATTGGAGTGACTTGCATGCAAGTGTATGTGACTGACTCCAGTCTTCATGCCATTAGGACTCACTTTTTCATCTTACAGAGTTTAAAACTGAGAAAATAACAGAGAGGGTTAAGGTGGCAACATCCATCTGATCCATCAGCCATGCTTGCAGCCTGCATTTTGGTGGTTTCATACTTGGCTTGCTCTTAAACCCTGAAGGTAGAGACAGTGTTGTCTTTCCAAAAACGTGCATTTTCTGAACTATATACCATTGCAACCCAGAAGATTGTACTCTTCAAGGACTTTCTTGACTATCAAGATGTAGAATATTCAAAACCTGTATTTTTCTCAACATGTACTTGGTTGAAAAGAGGCATAATTCATTTTGTTCTTCTGTTAAGTGTGCAAAGAAATGCTTAAAGTACACATGGCCATCATATTATATTTTGAGTGTGTGTGACATTTGTGTTGGCAAAAGACAGTATAGTCTAAAGGGGTCTGAAGATGACTTTGTCCACTATCTGGTATTCTAAAGAACACAAAAGTTTCAGAAACTGGATTTGTTTCTGTCTTAGGGTAAGGGGGCGCGAGACACCTACTCTGTTGTATCGGTTACCGTATGTCGACAACAAGATCTACTTAATAAAATTGGTGACTTGAGACATGATTCTCAGCTAAGTGGTTATGCACAAGGTTTCATTGGCTTGATCATTAATTCCAAGGGTAGCAATCTTCCAAAAATAGAGGATAAGCCTCTTGGTTCTGTGTATATCTTGTATGTGAAAGACATTTCAATAAAGTTAAACTGTATAGGAAATCATTACAACATTAGGACCATTGTCAAAACTAAACACACACTTAGGAGCTCACTCATGAGAACCAGGCTGCAGAGATCTGCAACAAATGGTGAATTGCATCTAACATTCCCCTATAATGTGGCAGAAGCTATGTTTGTGAAACAGGTGGACCGATAGTCATGTGGCCCAACAAACATAGGCACAATCTCAAAGAGGGTCTTCCCAGTGAAATCAAAATTAGCACAGTATGCCTATGAAGAATATCGTAAGGTAGGCTGGTATGAAGCTATGGTGCTGAAAATTGAAAGTTTTTTTTTATTGCTAGTGGGGTGGGACTGAGTCCCTTGTACCGAGGCCACTTCTGGTCTATTGTACCAGCCCCAGATGATAGGTGAGGGCGATTGTGGAGCAATTGCTGGAATGAAGATTGGCATTGGCAGGGGATACCGAAGTAGACAGAGAAAATCTGCCCCAGCGCCACTTTGTCCACCACAAATCCCACTTGACCAGACCTAGGACCGAACCTGGGCCTCCACGGTGTGAAGCCAGCGACTAACCACTTGAGCTATGGCGTGGCCTTAAAATTGAGAGTAACAACAGGTATAGGAAATATGTGGGATTGGCTCATATGGCATGTTAACCAATCTGATCAGCCAGGCCAGTTTGGATCCCCTTTATCTACATGGAGGGTAACATCTCACAGGGAAGGTCAGTATGATATGACAGATTCTTCATGGATATCTGTAATATTGTAGTCCAGGGTTCTAGGTTTGTTCCACATATGATGCTAGCAGTAGGAAAACTATTTATGGCATGAAAATCTTTAAATTGATCCTGTCCATCATTGTTCATGGATTCAGTTTGTTGCATTTAATTTGCACATCCTTTTCTATATTAGTTTAGTTCTGCACATGCATTCTTTCAGTTTTTATTATACATTTTCTTGTTATATTTCAATGACAAATCTTGATATCAGTTCTCTCTCTCTAAGTGGGTGGAGGGGGCACGTGTGTAGCTGTAGTTTACTGACATACGTGTAGGTTGTCCAGCGATTGGGATTAACTCTTTCTAGAGGATGCAGTGGAGTAGGCATCTCCCACCCCCTCACCTGTGCATGGAAACAGATCCAGATTCCAAAACATTGTGTTCTTTAATATCCTTTAGAATACCCGATGATGGATGAAGTCCAAAAATCCATTAATCCAAAACACAAAATGTCTTAAATCCTTATGGATTGAAGTGCAAAATGCTGTTTCTGAAATCACAGAAGGTGCTGTATATAACAGAGTTTGTTACAAAGTAATTTTGTCATCGAGGGATACAGACTTCAGCATCTGTTGTGCAAACAACATCTGAAAGTAGACAGATATTCTGTCACATAGTACAGGATGTGTTTTTTTGTTTTTGTGCAGCTACTTGCATGTTGTCCAGCATTTAGCCCATTGTAGGACTGAGCATTATCTCACAAAATTCTGCATATCAGCTGTCTGAACATAAACAATAACATTGTAGGATGTAGACCCATTGCTAGGTAATAGCCGGTACACATGCAGGAGAGGAATGCTGATATTACACACCACTGGAAGAGGTGTTGCAAGCAGCGTTCTCTGCAGGTCTTCTCTGAGGATATATGACTCAACCGGCAGAGTTCAGTAAGGCCCCATAGCTCAAGCTGTTAGTTGCTGGCTTCCCACCGTGGCGGCCTGGGTTTGATCCTGGGTCTGGTCAATTGGGATTTGTGGTGAACAAAGTGGCGCTGGGGCAGGGTCCGAGTACTTCAGTTTCCCCTGCCAATTGCTCGCCAATCACCCTTGTCTATCTGGGGCTGGTACAATAGGCCAGAAGTGGCTGCAGTACAAGGGACTTAGTCCCACCCCACTAGCAATAAAAAAAAAAGAGTTCGGTAAATCCAATTACCAATCCAATCTCCATCTGCAGTCACTCATATGTGTGACAATGTAATAATTAAATTCCTTTTTTGGATGCTTGCCAACCACAAGTAACCCATAACAGATGAGCACTATAAATGTATACAATGACAATAGTTGTGCATATAGTAATAATTTCCATGTTAGGTGGGTCCCTTGTCACCACAGCATGGCATATCCTTAGGCTGTGGATGGAGATGTCCTCCAGATGTGGAGGGTAGTTGTGAATAAATTGAAAAAAAACATTCATTGGCAGTAGACAAGGGGTGGTCCTCCAGCTTGGGGGTTGAGTGTGGGGCCAATAACTCTTAGCTGTAAAAAATGAGCTTGTTACAAAATGTTACGAGAGGCCTTGGACCTGGATGGATTCTTTGGATAAATGACCTACACTAAAGAGAATGGACGTGACATTTGGGACATAAAAAAAAACCAGTATAGGGCAGGTTCCCTCAGGACAGTGGCAGAAGAAGTATCAAAATAGAAGTTAGATTTAATGGGAGTACAGGATATCAGATGGGACAGATGACATGGAACTGGAAGGAACCAAAGTAGGTGGGAGGACACACTCAAACCAACAACTGCGAATGAGAGGTTCCATGACATTAGTAATGACGGTGGAGTTAGTTTGCCACATCCAAAAATCTGAAGTTCAATGTTCCCACGTTTTAAAATTCGTAAATTTATTTGGACATCTCCTGTGTTCATCAAATATAATTAGAATGTTGGAGTCAAGGAGGATGAGATGAGCAGAGCATGTAGTACAAATAGGGGAGAAGAGGAATGCATATAGGATATTGGTGGGAAAGCCAGAAGAAAGGAGACCACTAGGAAGACCAAAATGTAAGGGGGTGTGTGGATCTTAGAGAGGATGGAGTGGTATGGAGTGGATCGATCTGGCTCAGGATAGGGACCAGTAGAGGGCTCTTGTGAACACAGTGATAAACCTTCGGGTTCCATAAAGAGCTGGAAATTTCTTGAGTAGCTGCACAATTGGTGGTTTCTCAAGAAGAGCTTCAGCTCCAAGAAGTTAGTGAGTTGTAATAATAATAATAATAATAATAATTTTATTTTTGAAGTAACAGTACATACACATTGTGGCTTCACCATAGTTTATAAAATTATGTTCAGAATATATATATTTTCTTAAATTTACACAATTTGAACTCTTTCTAATAAAATTATGATCTGAAAGATTGCAAGAATTGCGCAGAACAACAAAAATCAAATAGACAGTTCTTCGTCAAAATACAAGAAATGTGTTTGAAATGTCTGCCGCGCCATCATTTATTAACTACGAGTGGCTCCAGTACAACTTACTAGATTATTTTTTGTCCTGGTATTAAGCAAATCACTGTTCTACCATTAGGTTGTATTCAGTGCATAACCTTCGTAGTACTCTGCATTTTGCTATGTAGCTTGGATTTCATGGACAGGTGTTATAACCATCATCCTAACCACAGATCAATATGGCAAGTTTTGCTGAGTTCAGATTAGTTAAAAAGGATTATAATTGTCAATTCTCATATCAGATGATTTGTCTATGGTTGCTGTCAGATCTGTTGATAATAATGAACATTCTTGTGGTATGACATGTAATAATATCCAGGAAGTAAAACATTAAAGCATTAAAGCTTTTTCTGTGAAGCACGGGTATCTCATAACTTGAATGATTCTGACTTTCATGAATTTCATATTAATTAGATTCAAATTATTTATTTAAATTTAATTATTTTAGTGAAGACTAAATATAATTAAATTGTTTGTTAACATGACAAATTTCTATTCATAAATGGCTAAAATTAAGTATTAAATCTGCTTGAACTATGTTCTTCAGTTGAAGTTAAAGACGGTGAAATAAAAAAAAATAAATTTTGAGTTACACAACCACTTTTTGGAATGCTGCATCAGTCATATGTGTTGGGAGCACCTGTGCTTATGTGTTCAGTATGTATGGAAAATTATTTTGGAATCAAAATACAAATAATTATAAAATGAAAACACTCCATTGAAATCAGACAAACATTACTATTTAATAATAATTATATTTCATTTTATGAAAATAGTTGACTTTTAAATAATTTGTATCCTATGAAGAATGCTGTCTTCTGGGATGTGGCACCATGTAGATTTTGTATGAACCAATGTTTCAAAGGAACATATCACCTGCAGACTGCTGCCATCTGCTCACGCTGCTTTTACACTTGTGGGGTTTTCTACCATGAAGATGGAGTCGATAAGTTCATGCGAAACGTTGGTTCATACAAGACCTACACGGCCCCACATCCAAGAAGACAGCATTGTTCATAGTCACTGCTGTGAAAACCTCAGATCTTACAATTGTATTCTACACTTATTTTGAAGGAGAAAATGTAGACTGAAGGAAATGAAGGAGGAGGAATATTCAGGAATTTTCGTGTGATTAGAAAGACATTTATTCCTTCATGCTTCAGTAAGAGATGGAGATACAACAATAGTCTTTTATATTATAAAGGACAGGTGAAAAGACATAGATACATATTAAAATGTGCATCAATATTAATTTCAGAATTATTTTTTCTCTGTTATTAAATAAAGTTCTGAGTTCATTTGAAGTGGTTCAAGAAAATGAACATAGTGGTATACCTGAAAGTAGCACTGTGTAAAAAGTAAGGTAACTTCTTTTGAAGTATGATTTGAAATTCTCATAGTGGTCTTGTGAGTTGTAACACCATGTAGTTTGGAGATGGCCATATCTTTTGGAGAAGCATATTTTTCCATCGTCATGGTCAAGAAGTAAGCCAAGTAAGAAAAAGCAGAAGCAGGCACCTTAGCTGGCAGTCTGTTTCTGTAGTGTCTTGTTTTGCTTACTGTTTGGCCCTGAAGATGGAAGTGATATGTTACTCTTGAAACGTCAGGTTGTCTCCAAACTGTATGTTGTTACAACTGGGCAGACCATTTTAATATTGAGACCAAACCAGTTTCCTAATTATGATATCTGTTGAAAGAAAATGAGTTTGTATATGATTATGACCTATAATCGTAACTTGTTTTTAGGTCTACTATTTCTGTTCAGGAAACACTACTATCATAACAGCACTTAAGTTAAAATCCTGGCCATTAAATATGCAGTTTATGTAGTATATTTTGTAAACCTACTTGGTTTATAAATTTTAACTTAAATAATAAAGTTTTAAAAACTTTAATATACCAAAAAAGCTTCTGTAGTTGTGGAAAAGTTGTATTTTGTGTATATTGTGCATTACAAACATTGTATGTATATGTATTTTAACACTCAAAACACAAATTGTGATAGTAGTTTCCAAAAAAGTATCGATGTCCCTCTGATGATGGTCTATAAGGGCTGAAACATGCAAGGGTGTTAAGTTTTCAAGTAGTAAAAACTTCAATAGTCACACTGGACGGAGTTGTTTTGTCTTTGTAATTTGTTAGTGTGACGGACCAGAATGAAACAAATCAGAAACAAATCAAATTTATTTTGTAATTGTTAAACTTCAGTGCTGTAAATTTAATGATTTTTTTCATTAAGTTTAGATTGATCTGCACATGCATTTGAAGAAGCTTATTTTTTATTTCTGCTAATTCCATATATCTGGGTCCTTGAAAAGCATATGGTCTCTGTTCTGGTTGAGAAATCCCTTTTCTTTTAGGGTGCTCAGAGGCTTGTTGCCATCCTCACAAGAGCCTGCTGTGGGTTCTATTCTGTGAACCACATTCTTACGCACTTCTTTAAGATTAATTTTTTTATAACATCCATGCTCCAAGTGGTCTGTTGCCATTAGCTTTCATGCCTAAAATTTTTTGAACATTCCTTTTGTCCCATGTGTCCTACACTGCTCATCTCATCCCCCCTTGATTTTATCACCATAGTATGTAATATTTGTAAGATTTGAGGCTTTCACGGCGGTGACTATGAAGAAAGTAGTCTTCTGCGATTTGGCACCGTGTATATGTGGTGTTAACCGACGTTTCGGAGGAACGTATCGCCTCCATCTTCAGGGTAGAAGAAAAAATGTAAGAAATCTGCAAGCGAAGAGACCTTGAGAACCGGTAAAAGCAGACTGGTGTTGGAAATATACACAGCTATGTGAGAGCAGAGAAGGAAGGGGGGGAAGGGCAAGTAGACAAGTGAAATCAGTGGTGTGGGAGGGGTAGGGGAAGGNCTCACCCAACACAAAAACCTTGCTTGTCCCAGCTCCTTTCCCCCCCCCACCCACACTACTGTTTTCACTTGTATACTTGCCCTTCCCCCCTTCCTTCTCTGCTCTCACATAGCTGTGTATATTTCCAACACCAGTCTGCTTTTACCGGTTCTCACGGTCTCTTCGCTTGCAGATTTCTTATATTTGTTCTTCTACCCTGAAGATGGAGGTGATACATTCCTCCGAAACGTCGGTTAACACCACATATACACGGTGCCAAATCCCAGAAGACTGCTTTCTTTATGTAATATTTGTTGTATTATTTCTACTTAATATTTTGCTTTGGCCATGCCATAGCTCAAGCGGTTAGTCGCTGGCTTCCCACTGCGGCGGCCCAGGTTCGATCCCGGGTCTGGTCAAGCGGGATTTGTGATGGACGAAGTGGCACTGGGGCAGGTTTTCTCCGAGTACTTCGGTTTCCCCTGCCCCTGCATAGAGAATACATTTCTTGAAGTCTGTCTGCAGTTTAGTTTTGATATATATTTAAGAAACCTTGTTGATGGAGTTTGTCCATGATATTTTAAACAATATAATTGTCATTTCTTGATTCATTTATGTAGTATTAACCAGTGCTTTTGTACACCTGACAGCAGTGGGATGATGGTTCAACAGAGTGAAGGTGCTTGTGACACTGAAATTAAGGTTTTTTTGTGGAGCATGAAGTTTTTGTGAAAATGAAATGTAATGAAATTTTAAATCACACGTTACATTACATTTCAATCGTTTGAAGTTAGACTGAAAACCATGTGAACTGTGTTTCTTTACTGATTTGTTGCTGTTGAAAAATGCAGTGTTACATAAAGAGGAACTTCTATCTTGTAAGTAACAGTATGAATAATTGACTGTGACAAAGACCTTGAATTTGCATAGTAAATATACCAATACTCAACATCATTTCTGATGTCTGTAAAGTTGTCACTACCATTTATATTTTTTGTGTTCTTTCTTTTCATATTTCTTATTATTTCAACATACCAGTAAACAAGACTCATTTACAATATTATTTTAAAATATTCTGAAAACATATTATGTGTGACATGATTTATACTTATTTGTATTTAATTTTTAAACATGTTCCACATAATGTATATCTTGTAATTAAACACTGTAGCTTCAGAAATTCAACAGAATCACCAGTGGTAAAGCAATCATTGCTACTTGTGGAAGGAGAACAGTACTGTCACTTTAACTCATGATAATTTAGTTACAGTAATCTGAATATAACATAAGTGATCTGATCATGATCAGCAGCACAAAAAATATATTTTTCAATACATGTTACAGTGTGATAATTTATTTCATACAGTGAAGGTCCTACATCATAAACAGTATTTATGTTTATAGCACTGTATTCTTATAAAATGTTTCTTTAATATGTCTACAATAAAGTAATTAAGATTTGTCTAGAACTGTACTGACTGCAAGAGTATTACAGAAGATCCTATTTATTAGAAGTTACATTTTCCGTAATTTATTTATCCTGCTGTTAAGTTTGAAGGCTAAGAACTTCAAATTATGTACATGTTTCTCAAGATAAAAATTTAATGATGGTAAGCTCTGCAGACTGCACATAAAATTATCTTCCTCCCTTACAACTCAAGAATATTGAATATGAGATATTAAACTTTGTGTTTTGGTTTCTTTGCTTCCGATAATGGTTTGTCCTTGATAAGAATATGCTTTGGCAAAGATGTATATTTCTGAAATAAAATTACTAATGTGTGGCGATTTCTAAATCTTTTTTTTTTCCCCCAAATTATTTGGTGTACCTACAAACCGTTGCAAAAGAATGACAAGCACATCAAAACGGCATTTCTTTGAAACTCAGTTCATCTTAATTTGAAAAGTAGATAGTTGGATGTACTGATCTTTCTTTTGTCCACTTTTAAAATATTCCTTAACTTTAAATTGCTTTCTTAACAGAGAAGACAGTTCTTTACAATTCTTATAATAATGTATTATTTTGAAAAAAAAAATGGGTGTGTTCGTTTATGGCACACTGAGATGCTCAAGCAAGGAAAGTACATTTGAGACAGCCTCAGATCGACAGTCTGTTTTGAATGTCATTCTGCATGGTGTTGAAAAGTCAAATTATTCCTTTCTCAAACAATTCAGTGTAACATAGACAAACAGGAGCCCATCTGCATTTGGCAATTGCCCGCACATACATTAAAATGAGTGGGCGTTAATCAGCCTTATGAGCACAGTTAGATGACGAATGCCATGTAGAAAGTATTGGACTTCAGGCCACATGGTTGTACACTGACCTCTCCCACCATTGCTCCCCGAGTGATCAGTGTCATTTTGAAATAGTGCAAGGTAAATCAAGACTTACACATCATCTACCATGCCAGAAGTCTTTGTACTCTTTAAGAGCAACATGATGTATGGATTTCACTCCCTACTCGAGAAACAAGTGACCAAGGTATAAATATTCTGAGATGAGACAAAATACTTTAAATTTAACTAGTTTTATATGAATCGTTTCAGCTTAACAGAAGGTAGGATGATTGTATGTCTGTATACTGTTTGTAGAATGTTTAAACCTTTATATGTACACCATGTAATTTTATATTGAAATTATATTTTCAGGTGTGATTCACTTGATTGCATCTGTAAAAATATTGGGGAGAAATGAGTACTCTATAACTGCATTGAAGATAGATATTAGTGAGTTTTGAGTATTTAAGTAGTAAGTAGTATTTTGGAAATTGAAATTACTTTTGAAGTATTTAATTGAAATTCTAGAATGCTGACAGCAATTTTTAACAAAATGCCATTTGATTTCCCAAAAAATATTTCCTCAGCATTTGAATTTAGTTATTTATCATTATTGGCAGAGGTTGGTGAGCTGTACATAAGGTAGAGAAACCTTAGGGCAATATATTAACACATTTCAATTCTTAAATTACTCTGATCTCCATAGATGTGATTGATATCTTACATTTGTTGAAACAGAACAATTTTGTTAGAAATACCGGTACCACATTTGTTTTCAAATTAATAAATATAAAATTCTGTTATAGAGTATGTATATTACAGAACCATGTTCAGATGATTTTATTTCTCACATGTGCATTGATATGTGCTGAATTAATAGAACAACTCTTGGTCATTCAGCTTGCTTCTTCTCGAATTCAAAAACTTCGTTATGGGATGAGTGTTGTAAAGTCTTAATTGAAACACAAAACCAAGGCTATAAGCATATTGAAAATGAGAATCCCATTCAGACTTGCGCTGTGTGGAAGCAATGTGGGAAAAGTGACCATAAAACAGTGCACGTAATATTTTGTGATGTAGTAGACAAGAAAATGATGCACAGCAGCAGCCTCAGATCACTAAATGTTCCCACAAATATTCAAGACGATTGATAGAATTTTTTTTTTAATCTGTGAGCTGGGGGAAATCATGGTTCATCAAAGACAGGTTAATAAAATTCATTCCAGAAAACACAGTATGGTTACAATCTCAAAGCATTGCTGTTTTACCTTTCAGGTTCTGTTAACTGTCCACTGTCTTGAAAAATGGCATTTGCATCAGTCTGCAGTGTGCATGCTCTTCTGCACTTACTGCAGTGTGATCAGAAGTATCTTGTGTAACAAGCAGTACCAGATTTAAATGCAACTAAATGAATGAGATGAGGAATACTTTGAGTTCATAACCTACAAACAAACACGTGCTCATTCCACTTCCATACAAGGTATTCCAAACTAGCAGTTCACCCTAACAACACTGCTTAAATTTGCATTCATTCTTGACATTCAGCTTTGTAACATTTTTCACAATGATTCTCTTAATGACAAGATGGATTTTACACAAATTAAAGCAGTGCTGTTCCTAAGTCTTGGCTGCAGTTAAAACAAAGAGAGGACAGATTGTCATCCAAGAAGTTTATCCAGCATTCCACATGGTTCAATATTCATACAAGCCGTGCGGTAGTTGATTAGCACTAATTGAGGCTAGAGGAGTCTTGATGATCATGTGCACAGAAGAAAAAGTTGGTGGACTAATGGAAGATGCAAGTTATCAGGCATTCCAACTAATGTTTTAGTACATTGTTCATGTCATCCAACACAAAATATTAGTGAAAGAGAGAGAGAGAGAAGGAATACACAAGAAAGCCATTACTAAGTGCTACTACCTGAAAATCAAATTTATGATACAGTTTAAAGTGACATGGTATAATTTGTCATTCATTTAGTGTACAGCTTTTATTTACTGCAGAAATACACATCAGACATCTTCAGAAGCATGGATTTCTTTTGTGTGTTTATATACAAATATTTTGGCATCAGTTTTCTCTTCAGCGAAAATTAAGCTTTTGTTGAAATCAGTTGTGTTAAAGGGAATTTTGCTACTTGCTGTACATAACCAAAAGAACCACCACCTGTTGTAAAGAAAGCCTTGAAGTGCATTGTAACAGTTTGTAAGTCAAAATATATATATAGAATTTACTTAAATGTCAATATATAACTGCATTCTCCTTATAAATAAGGATTAGTAACCTACATGCAATTCCTGTTCTTTTTAATAATTTGAGCATTTTAAGTAATTCTTCAATGTTTATGCAAAAGGAATGCAACTGTTAAATGTCTAAAAGTTTTTTTTTAACCTGGTAAACCTCCATTAACAAAGATCACATAAAAATGTAGCATCATTTATAATTTAATAATATTTACAAAGAGCTTCCATAAAATGTAATTCCTTGTTTGACAAAGACTGATTTTTGTGTACTTGCATTAATGCAGTAGCAGTAATTCTAATATTGTTGTGATTTTCTGCTGTATACCACTGTATGTTGAAAGTTTGTTATTATGACTTATTTGGAAACTTCCAACTTTTATAGAGAGAACTCCTCAATTGTTAGTATAGAGGGGAAAAAATTGTTAAGCTGAAACTTGCAGTGCATTGGTCATTAAAATTTGATTTTGATATGTAGGAGTAATTTTATCATGAAAGGGAAATTTAATTTTTTTTTTTTTCCTGTTTTCATATCGGATTGTGTGAGATTTATATGCATTCTGTTAGATAAATGTATGGCTGTGCAGTTTTGGGAAGTGAACAGATGTGGTTCTTATCATGCGGTAATGTTTTGTATAATGGACAAGAGACCATGTCTAATCTACATTTGACTACCAACCTCACAGTGAAACCTTGTTATGTTCTGCTTGATATTGTGATCTCTTTTAATGGTACAAGAATTGACCTTCATTACCCTTTCCAAAATTGTATACCATTACAGCAATAACTATTAACATTTCAGAAATTGAATTTCTTCTTTAAATATATTATTTTATAATTAAACACTTTTTTCTAACTTATATAAACAGAATTTACATTAAATATGTAAGACTGCTTTTTTTCCCCCCTGATTTCTCTGCCAGTCTTCCAGAAATTCACATGGTTATACTTTTCACTTTCTGCTGTAGTAAAGCCAAACTTCAGATTAACAATGATTCAGAGGTCATAGCTGCCCTATTCTTTGCAGAAAATGTACTTCAGTAAATACTACCATTTAATTTCCTCGAGTAATATTTGTTTCAGCTCATGGTACAATATTTAGAATACAGCTTACAAAGAAATTATGGTGTATATAATTTCTTAATATTTTTTAATCTGGACATTTTGGTAACAAGGTTTTACTGTCCAGAAAACACTTAAATCCTTAATATAATGCCATTATAACAAGCCAATATGTATGAAGTTTTCCTTTATAGCAAGCTAATGGCAATAATGTATAACTATCACAGTCCTATTGCTCATCATTCTAGGTAGCGTGCATTTATTTTTCCAGAAAGTGTTGTTACCAAGTTTGTATATAATGCATTTCCCAGAAAACACCCTGAGCAGTTTCTAGTATTAAGTGAGCTCAAGTAGATGTACTGATATTATTTAAAGGCAAAAAGACAGTGTTTACGTTTCTGTTAGTAAGTTACAGAACCATGCTACTACTGAGCAGAAACTGTCAAATCAAGAGTTAACTCATCAGTAATAACTGGCAATATATCAAAGATTTAAACTGCAGTAAGGTTTTAGTGCATGGATCTAGAAAGAGTTTGTGTAAGTGTAATAATAATAATAATAATAGTTCATATCTGCAGTGGTCAAGTATGTATGTACCATATATGAGTCCTTGAAATTTGAGATGGAGTGGGCCATACTGTCTGTATTCCAGTACTTTATTCTATTTCAGTTGTTCTTTTGTAGTCATGTTACTAAAATAGCCTGAATAACATGCTGTATAATGGATCATTACTCAAGTTAAAGCACTTGATTAAATAAATTCTGACTACTTGATGCAGCGGTTTGCAGCTTCTCATTGTAAGCTGATGGCGTTACTTAGCATCATCTCATACTTTCCAGTGACTCATTCTGTTATTGATGTTAGGTGTGTGTATATTTATGTATATGCGTTTGTATATGTATATACACATACACACACACACTTTGGAACTGTTTTGTTAAAGTTAACTAACTAAAAGAATAGTGGTAATAATCAATCTTCGTAAGTGAAGATCGATCTAGCTTCTAAATCTATCTGTGCACCATGCAACCATGAGCAGCAGCCAGCCAGGATATGAGGAGCACTAGAAGGAATGGTGAATGAAGTAACAGAGAGGGTTTGTTGAGGGAAGACATTGCCGCATTACACATATCCTCTTCGCAGAAGCACATGTGACCCGTGCCGCTACTTTCCATCATGCAGACGTGATCCACCATGAATAAGTTGATCTGTAGCTGTGACGTACAAGTACGGCGTACACTCTCATATTCTGATTGTGTTACAGTTGTGATAAAATATGTATTTGTTTGGTTTTAAATGCAATTATTTCATCCAATACATAAGTCAGTGTTTTGTTTTTCATATTTTGACATTTTTTTTTGTAGAATCATCCATTTCAAGTTGGCAGCCATCATCATGATAACACATGGAAGTCATGATGTTAAGACGTCATGGTGGTGATACAGCAGCACGATTGGTTTAGAAAGGAGAAAACAGATTGAATAAAGGCAAGAATGACAACAAGTATATTTTCTCCACACTGCATATGTTTTCTGAAAAGTCTCGAAATAAAGGTAATCAAGCAACAAAGGTCTCAAGCAGAATGACACACAAAAAGAAAGAGAAAATTTGAGGCAGCACCACAGTTAAGTCACTTATGAATATGCACAGAGTAATCAACAATAGAAAGTTAATGTATTTTACCTATGATTCTGTGCTCACTGAAGGACTATAATCATGCAACAAGAATTACTGTATTCAAGACAAGATAGTAGACCTGAAACAGGCTGGAGTGATCAGATAAAGCACATTTCTTTGCATATGTGAGTCTGCTGTTCCTAAATAAAAACATTGTCTGCACACTGATCGTGTGTTCTCATTTCATTTGTTTACCTTTTCCTTTTACATTTCTTTTATATCTTGACCGTATGAAGACTTTTTTGGTGAGTTTATAGCATATGCATTTGTTCCTGCTTGTATAAACTATGGTGGAATCTACAGAATCCTTAGTTTCTAAGTTTTTTTTATTGCTAGTGGAGTGGGGCTAAGTCCCTTGTACTGTGGCTACTTCTGGGCTATTGTATCAGCCCCAGATGATAGGTGAGATTGATTGTAGAGCAATTGGTGGAACAAAGATTGGCAGGAGAAACCGAAGTACTCGGAGAAAACCTGCCCCAGCAGAACTTTGTCCACCACAAATCCCACTTGACCAGACCCGGGATTGAACCTGGGCCACAGTGATGGGAAGCCAGCAACTAACCGCTTGAACTATGGCGCGGCCTAATTTATAAGTTTACTCTTGTGCCTCCTATTCAATTTGGAATAACCAGTTATTTCAGAATGCTTATTTGTTTAAGATTGTATGAGCTAAAGAACATCTTTAAGTACCATTCTCATTTTATCATCTTCATTTGGAATATAATGGAGCAATTATTGAATGTAGGACTGAGAAGAGATAAATATGCATTCAACTCACGTGATCTTGCATTTCGGACCATTTTCACACAGCAGCCATTACATGTCATCAGTGGAGGTTGATCACGTGGTAGGGCTGTGTAGTTGAATGGATCCTTGCAGCGGATATCCGTCCAACTGTCGCATTCGTAGCAGTATATGGACCGCGCTAAGGACAGGATAGTTGTTTACATTCTTAGAGAAACCTATATGAATGTGAGACATACACAGGACAAAGTAACTGCATATTTATAAACCTAATCATGCAGAATGTAAGTCATTGGTAGTTAGCAGACTTACATTCAGAATACAATGTAGAGTGAACCATGCATTTAAGGTGCCCTTGGTGAGCAGTGGGATGAGCTGCTGTAGCACAGAATAGCTACTAGCTGTGTGCTGCACAGCTTAGAAGTTGGAGTTTTGAGTCCTAGTAGGGGCACATCATCCAGACCAGTTCTGGGGCCCACTTGGCTTACTATCCAAGTGATACTGGGGGGTATTTACCCAGCAGTAAAGTGGCCATGGCATGAAGCTGACCACTTACCAAATAGTGCTGAAGTCAAGAGTAGATGAATCTTTACATCCATTCCCCCATACACATTCATGGTGTAATGCTTGATTAGTTAAGAACAGGGACAGCTGTATGTTTTCTGGGAACAGTGAATTTGAACACTTAAACTAAGAAAAATCTACAGGGGGAGATTTAACACTGAGATTATTGACTCATGATCTTAGAAAGTGAACATTAAATAAATGAGAACTCCAGTGTAATTTGTGTCACTGTTTAGTTTTTTTTTTAACTGACTCTGAAAGGTCCACTCTTAACATAGGGGGGGCAAGGGTTTTAAATTAAAAGTAAGTGACACTCAAACATGAACTCTGAAATAGTCTAGTGAAGTCTTCATGCATGGTATTTACACAGAAGCAGCATATATTAGTTAATTAGTCTTATATAGCTTTGCTGCCACATTTTTAAACCCTGAGTAGCAGGTCGGAGGTAGTGGTAATGTGCCATGGATTTGCCTGAGAGTACTTTGAAGATTCTTTTTGAGAACATGGAGTGGACAAAAATTCAACTTACCTTGTAGCTTCACATTGCCATTTTAATATTTACATTGCATTATTAAATGTTATGTGGGGGTAGTTACAACCTGCATAATAGACTATTTTAGTGAGGTTGCAGTATGGTCAATTTTATTATACTTTTATATAATTGGCAGGGATAAAAAATTGTATATATTATTTGACTCTTGCCTAGTTAATACTGTTGTGATTACCTTTGTGGTATTCATTGAACTCAACTGAGTTTTATTTAACATAATTCAAACCTGGCATTTCATTTTTAATTTGGTGTTACATTACACAACAGTGGATTTGCAGAGAACATGAGACCTGGAGTCACCATAATACTGATATATGTATGTTCATGAGAATTATTTAGTATAAATACAGTGAGCTCTTGATTATCCATGGTAATGAAAGGTAGAAGCAGTGATAATTAAAAGGAACAGGTAGTCCAAAAAGCTGAAAATACCAATATGCTGCATTCAACTCTGAAGATTAATTATGACTGGTCACTAAACAGTGAGACATATCTCTAATAGAGGATGACAGCCCTTGTCCAGGAGCACTTTGGTTTCTCCTGCCAGTTCTCATTCCACTAACTGCTCCACAGTCATTAATCATGCCTATCATTGACACTGCAGTCTCAATACTGACACCATTATTAAATAACCCCACCCCCCAATAAGACTTAGCTGTAGTGCCCAGCACCCACTAAAAGCAATAAATGTGGATAATCAAGAGATTACTGTAGTTGTGCATTTCTAGATGATTTTCATCTCCCATTCTATAACAGTTCTGGGGGTTTGTGACTTTCAGAACATGTTTGTTACCATGGTTACTGTGAAAATATACTCATTGCCATCAAAGTCCCACTGCTTCTCTTATGGGGAAGAGAATCATTCACTTACGGAGCTGAGCTCTTCTTGAGAAGCCGCCAGTTGTACAGCTACTCAAGAACTTCCCAGCATTTTAGGGAACCAGAAGGTTCATTACTGTGTTCACAAGAGCCATTCACTGGTCCATATCCTGAGCCAGATCAATCCAATCCATACCATCCCATCCTATCTCTAAGCTCCATTTCAATATTGTTCACCCACCTATGTCTTGGTCTTCCTAGTAGTCTCTTTGCTTTTGGCTTTCCTGCCAATATCCTATATGCATTCCTCTTCTGTCCCATGCATGCCACATGCCCTGCTTGACTTGATCGTAATTATACTTGGGGAAGAGTACAAGTTATGAAGTTCCTCATTATGTAGATTTCTCCAACCGTAAATCACTTCACCCTCAGTCTATGTTCCTCTCTTAATGTCAGAGACCAAGTTTCACACCCATACAGGACCACAGGAAAAATTATAGTTTTGTATATTCTAATTTGTATGTTTCTAGACTTGCAGCTGAGAAGACAAAAGGTTCTGAACTGAATGGTAGCAAGCATTACCTGAATTTGGTCTCTTCTTAATTTCCTCCTGAATCAGATTTTGATTTCCCAAATATCAGAACTGTACGAAATTTTTAAAACATCTGTTAGCTATCTTTATGTCATGATTTTGCCATGTGTACTGGTGACAAGACAGCAACATATACTTAGTTTTCTCTGTGTTTACTTCTAGACCAACCTCCCTACTAACATAATTGGATTTTCTGTTTTTTTTTTATGATATCTGTGTTATCTCCCAGTAGATTCACATCATCAGCATAGACCAGCAGCTGATCTGTCCCATTTCATTTCAATCCCACCTTTTTTTCCTGGACCTATCCAATGACATATCCTAAAGCAAAGTTGAAGAACAGTGGTGATAAAGCATCTCCTTGTTTTGTAACGTTTTGGATAGGAAAATTATCAGACAAATATTTATCTATATGGACTTTACTATGCATTTCATTTAAACACATTTTAATCAGCCTTACTAGTTCCATATGTAACCCAAACTGTATGAGAATATTGTATAGTACTTTCTCCTAACCGAATCATAGGTTTTCTTGAAGTCTATGAATAGGTGATGTATGGTCTCATTGTACTCCTATTTTTTTCTCCAGTATCTGACAAACGCAAAAAATTTGATCAGTAGTTGATCTGTTATGTTGAAACCCACACTGATGATCCCCAATAATTTCTTCTATATATGGACTTAATCTTGTGAGAAGGATATTGGTTAAAATTTTGTATGAAGTTGATGAGAGTGATATTCCACGATAATTAACTACAGTCAGTTTTATCACCCTTCTTGTGAACTGGTACATGAATAGACACCTTTCACTGATCAGGGAATTCTTCCCTATTCCAAGTGGAATTAATTAGCTTATGGATCTTGGATCATAATATTTCACCTCCTGCTTGAATCAGTCATTCCAGAATTTGATCACTATCTGGCGATTTATGCCTTTTCAATTTTGCAATAGCACTTTCAACCTCAAAAGGGCTAGGATCAGATACTAATGGCTCAGCTGTATGGATTTCTGTTTGCCTAACATCACTGACCCTATGTACATTCAATAACTGAGAGAAGTAGTTCTTCCTCCTATTCAAAATGTTGTGGGAATCTAAGCAGATCACCATTCTCATCCTTCACTATGTTACTGCTAGGTTGGTAACCCCTCTTAAATTCATTTGCTTGTCTATACAGGTCCCTGATATTCTTGTTTTTACTGTTCATTGCAAGCTCATAAATTTTATCTTTCAGATATTCCCTCTTTTTGTTCCTGAAATGCCTGCTGGTTTCACATCTTATATTTAGATTATCCCCATTTATGTTGCTTGCATCTTATAACCACTGTAATTTGGCTTGTTTCCTTTGGTCTAAATTTTGAGCATCCTTCGTTGAACCATGGCTTATACTTCATCATTTCATAATAACCTAGACTCTCTTTAGCAAAAACTTTGATATTCTCTCTGATAGTTTCCCTAACTCTATTACTATCCACCTCAGTGTCTAGGTTTTCCAAAGCTGCAAACCTATTTGAGATTTCAACACAATACTACTCTTTACCCTCTACCTCATTTGATTTCTTGAGGTTGAACTCTGTGCATTGCTTGTTTACATACTGCCAGTCTCCCTAAGTTTTGCTACCACCAGATAGTGGTCAGTATCACAATCTGCTGCCCTGAACATATGGACATCAGGTATACTTGAATGCCATCTCCTGTCTACCAAAATATGGTTAATTTGTTTGTGCATTTTTCCTGCAGGAGATGTCCAAGTAAATTTAAGAATGTTACAATGTGGGAACATAGTACTTTTGACAGTAAGATTTTTGGATGTGGCAAAGCTTACTACTCTTAACTCCATTATCATTAATAATTTTGTTTAAACACTCATTCCCAATTGTTGGTTTGAAAATGTCTTCCCTACCTACTTTGGCATTGAAATGCAACAAAATTTTCATGCGGTATTTAGGGAATTTATTGTCTACATTTTCTAGTTCTTTGTAGAACCTGTCCTTCAGCTCATGAGTTTTATCTTATGTTTGAATATGAACATTCGGAACAATGATATCACACCAGCAACCTCATAGTGTTATGTATGATATCCTACCACTAACAAACTCTACCCTCTTAACTGCTGATATGAGTCTCTCATGTACAAGAAAAAGAACCTACCTAATTCATGATTTTCATTCCCCTTTCCATAGAAAAATGTATATTTGCCTGCTGGTTTGGTGCCACCTCTGTCCTATCTGACTTCCTGTACTCCCACTAAATGTAACATATTTTGAGATTTCTTCTGTCACTGCCTTCAGCAAACCTGCCCTCTACATGCTTCTCACATTCCATGTATTAAATCTCATATCCATTTTCTTTAGCTTAGGTCATTTATCCAAAGAATCCGTCCAAGTTCGAGGCTTCTCATGATCTTTTGTAACAAGCTTATTTTTTACGGTGAGGGGTTGTTAGCCCCATGCCCAACTCCGAAGCTGGAGTATAGGGGAAAAAATTTGTAAATAATTTGATCTGAACTTAAACCCATGCATGTAGCAACAAAAGTGATAATATTTTTTACATTTCTTCCTAAAATTAACAACTTTTGTATTTACACCAATCCACTGTCCTTATTACTTTCTGAGATGCAGAGTGTGAGGGATGGATACTGTGAGGTGTATGTGTGCGTGTTGATTCCACAGATACAGAAAAACAAACCTGGCAACATTTAATAAGGATCTGTTAACTGAGCTATGTTAATGTCATTGTGCAAATACTACTCACTCTGACATTCCTCTTCGGTTAATGACACAGCTGCTAGGATTATCACTGCAGTGGTGATGTTCAGATAGAAAACAGACAACACACACTTCAATCTACACATTCTCACAATGAAACATGTTCAAGAATATCTGCTGAAGCTAAACCTAGATGCAGTTTTACTGTACAGTATTGTACATCTTGTGCCTTATGATGATGTATTAAATATACCGAATTAAATTTTAGGCTAACCAAGGAAAGAATCTGCTGTAACATGAAGTTTTTACACAACAAATAAGAATCATTGACTTTGAATAATGACATTCTTCTAACAGTATTTAAAAATTCAATTCCTACCTCACAGGAAGCACACTGCACTTCCAATATAAACATCAATTGGTGAATGATGTTTAGAGAAATAATCTGTGTTTATTCTGAGATTCATATGAAAGATATATACACGCTGTGGGCAAAGTGGAATTTTTCTTTATGTTAAAGCAGGTGGTAGGAATAGTAACCAATGTGGTTTAAAGGAATAAAACAAGTTAAACAATCTTGACTCTAGTTTGGGTGTTTAACTCAAACTACATTAACTTTGTTGTACAAGGTAATATGTGGTTTCCCTTGCATGCTTTTTGCCTTGCTGCTGTAAAGGACACATTCTGCTCGGGTGTGAATATTTCTCCATTCAACTGCCCACACAATTTTCACTGTCCCATGAAGATTGTACGTTAACAATGAACATTCAGCATTGCGACAGTACACAGAATGCATTCAGATTTCATTCTTAGGGGGGGATGATGATGATGATGATGATGATGATGAAGAAGGTCAGAGACTAGGAAACTACCATTTATTTCTAGGATTCATGGATCTGCAATGCTGTTGATATTAATTTTGGCCTTGGTAATTGAATTTGGTTAAAATTAAATGCACTTCTTATGTAATGAAAATCAGTCAGAATTCAGATGAGAGTTTGAAGACCATTCCTCTTCACCCATTTCCAAAAATATGGATTAAGTATAAACATGGTTATGTAATTACTCTACCACAACAAGGAAATGAGATAAAATTAATCACATCTTTTATATTATCTGTCTGTTAGTTTGAATTAATTGGGAATAAATACTGTGCACCAAATTCCAGTGCTTATTAGGTCTAAGTAAACTTCTTTCAAATTTGGATAAGAAGAAAGAATATCAAGGAAATGAATTTTGAAGGTTGTGAGGAAACGTTTTCAGTCCCAAAGATGGAGGCAGTCTGTTCCCCTGAAATGTCAATGAACTTCTGTCAGACTACATGGTCTCACACCCTAAAAGTTAGTACTCAACATATTCAGTTTACCCTTCATAAGTTAGTACAACACAAGGTAGCAGGCAACTTTCATGACATATTTTATCAACCATACAACACAAAACTTATCCATTTAGAAATTATTATGTCAGGGCAAATATTTCAGTTTTCTCAGAAGAAAGCCATTTTCCTGTAAAGTGTGCTCTGTTTGCACATCTTTTGTCAATGTTCTGGAGCTTAGTAACAAAGGAAACGAACACTGCTGCTAGCTTTACACATATCTTTATTGTCATTGCAACACCTGAAGTATACTGAAGTCTTGTATGATTATTTTAGGTTGCAGTTTGCAGGAAAGACTGGAGGTCCTTACTGCAAAATGTAAATCACATTATTTTAAGGCTAAGTCCAGACGAGCATTACAATCTGCATAGTTGTGATAATGACAGGTGTGATTTGCATGCACTTAGAGGTCATATATATATATATATATGTATATATTTTTACATTTATACAGGGATAGTAATCTCTGCCACAAAAGTGCTGGACTGGACGAAGCAGACAAAAAAAATTGTAATACTTATTCTGTAATTTCAAAATTATGAGACCATCATTCCCTTAAAATATATCTATTCCTTCTTAAAATGCATGCTACTTCACCTTGATATTCAACCTAAAGACCGTTTTCACTTCTCTCGAGCTCTCTATGTGGTCTTGCTGCTAGAAGATTTTATTGGAGTATGTACTGCATAATACAATTTGAGTAAATTGAAGATTCTTCACTAGGCAATCATGTGATTTAATGCATAAGGTGATATACATATTTGGTATTTACAAGACTCACCTCTGCTATCACCAGATGGTTTCACAGTAGGAAGTAAATAGAAGCATATGCATAATGTCAAGCCATTTCATTTTTATAACCTGAATTTAATGGCAAGTAAGAATAAGTCCATGCTTGTTCCTTGCACTGTGTTATCATCCACATATCCTGTTATTGTTTATATTTTTTATAGATTTAGTAAAGATGCATCTAGAAGATCAATCTAATATTCATGACCACAAGCATCAAATAGATGTGTAATGTACATGGGTGTCAGAAGCTGGGGGAAGTAAGTCAGGCTTCTGAAATTATGACTGCCTGGCTAAATTGACCAAATCTTCAGAAGACAAGGGGCTAATTAAGTTACACATGAATATATAAGGTGGGACAAGTATGAAATGTCACATGGAGGATGTGGGAATGAAAATAGATGTGTCAACAAGTTTCCATATCTAAATGAATAATTTGTTTGTCATCTCTCTTTAATTCTATTGCTGCAATAATGTTAGAAGGATAGATCACAAAATTTTGCATTAATTGAAGCTCTTAAGTCCAGTATTCTAATTAGTAGCATGTTTCCAGGGACTTCGCTTTCTTTGTCTGAAAAAGAAGCTAGTTTTTTTCTTCACAACTGTACAAGCAGGGCACTAAAATTTTTACATGAAGTGAAGTGAAAGAAGAATACCTAATAAGCACATGTTTAATGAGCCATCCAATGCATTTTCACATGTGTATTATTCATACAGAGGCTCTTTCAGCCAATGATGAAGTGTGGAGTACATTTTTCCCTTCCTTTGTTTCCAATGAAGAAGAAACCTAACAACATAAAATATCATATTAAAGAGTGTCTTGGGACTTCTTTGTTTAGCAGTAGACTTTTTTTCCCTATTGGTTTGCTTTTACACTCTCAGTGTATGGAATGTATGTTGTCGAATGGTACAGTGAATTGTGAAGGATTTGGAAGGAGGAACCACTCATGTCTGGACTTAGATGCTATCCCTACACTTGCTTGGAGGAACCCTGGAAAATTGGGGGGGGACTCATTCAGAATAGCTAGTGTCCCAGAAGGAGTCAGACCAAGCACCTCCTGAATACAAATCTAGAGCATTACTTGTAGATCATAATGTCCGGTCAATAGGAATTGCACAATCCCATTCATATTCATGACAGTTAATTCATAGCAAATCATTTCTAGCACAAAATGTGGTAACAGACACAGAATATTGAGCTCAACATTGGTAATATTAAAAACTGCTTTTGAACAAGGCATTGATACATTTCACACCCCACAATATAGTCTGTAATATTATTATCCTTGATATAGGGTTTTCTGTCATATTTATGTAAACTTTTCTTTTTTTGACCATCTGAGCTACATTCTGACCCACATGATTTGACTGCATATACTAGATTGGTTGTATAAATTAAAAATATGTACAAGTAATATTCTCCGTTCCCTACTCAATGAATCTTCCTTGGGTTCAATTATTTTTTAACCTTTGTTGTTAAATATTTTAAAATTAAAAAGCCATAGAGTCATAACTACACAGAACATCTAATAAAATGTGTTTTTAATTACTAGCAGTAAAATTATATACATGACATGGTGTTCATTAATGATAAACTGGGAAATATCATAGGCTATTTTAAGGGACTATGCAAACATTTTTCTATGCAAACTGAGGAACACATGGAAGACAGCATAGCCAATCTCTGAGTTGAAATTCATACCTGAGACATGTCAATTACATTTCAACAATTGGTCCAGTACATTAAATTGCAGCAGTAGAAACCAATGGGAATGCATAGCTTAAAAAATATGGAATATTCATTCATATTAGTCCAATATAACACATTATTTTTGGTGAAGTTTCAAGTAGAATTAATGATTTATTTTAAATAGCCTGGCATAAAAATATCATAGAACAAAATTTATTACTTATAATTCTAATTTAAAACATATTTCTTTATTCTGAAATTTGTTGAATACAAGGAGAGATATTTTATTACTCTTTGCACTGTTCTGTTGGATGACTGGCCTTGCAAAACACCTGTGATACATGAACATCACTACCAGTAAGGTATAAAAAATTGCAAGTTGGGAAAGTGTAATTGCACTTCTCCACTTAAACTCTTTAATTAATTTTGATCTAGTAAAACACAAAGATTGATTTCTCTGTTTTATACAGGACATTTACCTGTTGAAGCCCGACTGAGGAAGATGTTACTAAACACATGAAAATCCGAATAGTCTGCCTGAAGTGAAACTGAATATGTATATGATTGTACATGCAGTATGTCTATATATAGAATCAGCATCCTATTGACAGAAATATATTTCAATTGTTAAGTACAACCTTTGTCAGCACAGCATAGAGCATCCTCTAGGTTGATGATGAAGGAAACTGACTCCAAATGGGGAAGGAAGTTGCAGAGAAATTTAATATGTGGTTGCAGGTAGATCTAGAGAGGCAGTTCTCCAGCTTGTTTCAGGGAGTTCAAGTGACAGTCTCTCATTATCAAAACGTAGTTAATTACAAAATCATCAGATGAGAATTTTTTAACTAGAATAATATTTTTAAATGGTCGTTAGAGAATATGTGAATGGAATTAACTATTTCAAGATGGTGGTGAGGCATTGGGTTTATTAAGAAAAGAGGTATTTTTTATTGACTGAATAACAAATTGGGTAAGGATGACTGTAACATGTAGTTAGTTGGTTAGTTCATTTATTAGTTTTCTATGTGAAGTGTATCCTGATAATATATTTAGGTGTAAAATTCTTTCAGGGCAAGAACTCTAGTTAATATCACGTTAAATCAGAGTTTACGAAACCAAAGTACACACTCATAAACAAACAGTACTCTGTTCTGAATTTACAAATATGATATGCAACATTAATTTCAACAACAGTTGAAGAAGTACACAGTAAAGCAGTAAAAGTAGGAAACCTCAGAGTAAACTAAATAATTTTGTACACAACACCTAACAAAAATGGCGATGAAGAAGCAAGCTCACAAACAGGCGGGAAAATGTTCAGCATAACAGCAGTACTTACGAGGGAAACATTCCCCAGTTGTATATGAGATAGATGCTAGCAGAACAACTGCAAACAAAACAAAAATACCACATACCAAATTTAAAGGAATGGAAATTTATGGGAGAATATATTGTATGAAATTGAATAGTATAGGCAATTTATAGAATATTGATAAAATCTAGGGATTAAAATGCCAGTAGAAGAATGAATCCATCCTACATGTTGAAACTGTAGGATTCATTAATTCAGTATAAAATTTCAATTATATGTGTACTTGTATATGCAAATGTGGGTGTATTTTATTCACTTAAAGAAATATGATGAGTGAAGGTGCTGTAATACAAAAAAAGGAATCATATTTGTGGGCATCACAAACCAATACAATTCAAAGTCTTAAATCTTATAGGCATTCTTAGGACTCCATGAATGGGAGATTGATCTCTTGAGAGGGCTGTACTTACAGAAAACAAAATAAACACAAAAGAAATGTAGACATCAATGTTATGAGCAGGATTTTAACCCACATTCCGAGTTTTCAGGCAGAAGACCATACATGCTTTTGACCATGCGGAAACACTGGTCAGTGACTTCTGACCAAAATAAATACCTAGATAATCAGTGAAGCGGCCTCCATAGTCTAGAGGTAACGTTCCCACCTCATGACTCGTGGTACGCGGGTTCAAACCCGGCGGAGTTCGTCGAATTTTTAAGGGCGGAAAAATTCAGGGAACAAGTCCTCCGGGAGGGACTTTAAGCCGTGTGTCCCGTGTCGTAGCTTTACGGCACGTAAAAGAACCTCATATCTCCAAAGGTCACTGAGCCAAATTCAAGGACGTTTCCTGCCCAACAATAGTCTCTAACGCCTCTGATAGATGGGGGAAGCATTATAGATACCGCCAAGCCAGTGGAGGCCGAACTCGCTGGCTCGGTCGGGACTGATGGTACACACCAATATCGGTAGGATATAGAGACTGGTAGAATATCATAGAGGGAAGCACAATGGACCAATACTGGTCTCAGTGCATGCGGAAACCCACCCTCTCCAATAACTAACTAACTAGATAAGCAGTGTATGGGTTGATACCTCAGCACTCTTTATCCTTGAGCCTACTTCCTGCTGACCCTTAGTGCTAAACTCTGTTACAACTTTCAGCATCAAGTTTGTTCTTATTAGTCACCAGTATCATTTAGATTTATACAGCATTGTGCAGAAAAAATCATACTCTAAGTTTGAAGATGTAATTTTGAAGGTATTTGCTGTGACATTAAAATTAACAAATAAACAAGAAGAGTATTATCTTGTCTTTTGAAACATGGAACAGTGCATAATAAACAGTTGCATTCAATGTGATGTAGAAATGACTCCACACATAGCATTTTATTTATATGGAACTTAGAACTGTCTAATGAAATATTTAAATCCTTGTATATTACATTTTCTCCATAATATAATGTGTCAGTGTCTTGAATTTTATATACCCTGTACATGTTTATAATAAAAATCCTTTGTCCTTGATGAGTAAATCATTATACTGTGGCCTGTGAATGTACACTGATAAGATATGAATATATGTATTAAAATTATAGTTTTTGTTAATAGTAACATTTATTGTGGCAGTAGCAATTCATAAATCAGGAAGATCGGCTTCTGGAGTTTGAATCATGTTTTGAATATTGTAATGTTTTCAGTATTATGAAGTATGGGATCAGTTTTTCCTAGGGGTATGTATGAAATGCTGAAGTTTTGAATTAAGACTTGGATGTACTGCAATTTGGTACACATCTCTTCAGAATACCTTCATCTGGATTGGATTTATATTCACATGAAATCTGAAATTTCACTGTTTCTCTTTAATCCAGTCCCGAATTAAATCGCTAGTGTGAATTTTAAGATGAATAAATGAGTTTTTTTTTCAACAATTCAGTTAGAATGAAAGAGGTAAATTTGTACCATGCCTAAGTGACCTTCCATGACAGTGTGCACAGTGAGCAGAATCAAAATTAAACTCTATGTATTTCCAACTATTTATCTACATTTCATGAATTCGTAATTAATGCTGTGACCGCTCTATCCTTAGGAAAGAGCTATTGGTAGTGATTGGACAAAGTTTCCTGGGTCTGAGAGCTACTTCAAACGTGACAGATACTTTGGCATATTCTGTATTTTGATGTTATTTCCAGTTAGATTGTGATACTTGACTCAGTTGTATTCTTAGATGTAAACTTATAGTATAGTTGTATAGTTTGAGTTGCCTAAATTCTCATGTGGACAGAACAGAGATGACTGCTTGGAACACATGTGGTTTGAACTTGGAGAAAGAAATTTTAATATTTGGTTAATAATATCTAGTGGTGACTCAGCACGCTGTTTCTGCTTTTACTCTTGGTCTCACTGGTGGTCAGTAGAATCATAAACCTTACAAGAAAATTCCAAGGTAGAAAGAAACAATATTCAACTGAAGAAAAGTTCAGTCTTCTCATTTAGAAAAAAAGGATTAATTTACTCTTGCAAAAGTCATACTTTTACAGCTGAGAAAGTTTCATTAAAGAATCAAGCTAAATTTGAAGTGATAATTGGAAGCTTTAAAAGTAATGTCTACTTAGTGAATGAGATGTAAATTCTCCAGAAGTTTTCAACTCTCTCCTAATATTATTGCAAAATAACTTCTTGTATAGAACCTAGCCCAACTTCTTAAAAACTTCTCTCTCAGAAGAGCATCTAAAATTAAAATGGGTAAAAATTAGGATGACATGACCATTTTAACTGCATTGAGTACCTTATTTAAAGTTTCTTGAACTTTATGTTTTAGAAATTAGAAGTAACAAATTAACTGTTAATTAAATAAGAAAGTGCTAACTATCTCTCTCCTTCCCTCACTTACATAGGCATTGTGGATGGTCAATTTGTGCTTATTCACCTTTTATGGAACTAAAAATGCTCACCATCATCATCATCATTATTGCGAATGCTCACCGGTAGACATGTGCTGAGCCACTTTGTCTAATCACAGCTTTAGGAGTTACAAGCCCTAATATCCATTTTATTATTATCCTTCCAGTTATCCATTGGCATACAAAGTGATTTCATTCCATGTGATTTTTTAAGAACAATTTTAGCTTGTGTAATTTATTTGCATTTTGTCAGTTGGGCAATACCACATTCTATGATGCGGGTATCATTGCATAATTTACTCCATTTAATGCTTCAACTTATGACCCCCACACTTACAGATTTTATAAATGAAAACAGAATAAATAATGTGTGGTGTCTCCACCTTATCGTGGTGAGGGGGTTTGAGTATGCCAAGGACCCTGAGAGCTATACCAGCGGTAGCGTAGCTACTGGCAGGGCCTCCCTTGCTGGACAGGTCAAAGGGTAGGCATCAGACGAAGAGAGACACCAAAAACTAATGCCGGAAGCAGCGTCATCAGTAGCGACTTGAAGCACAGAGCAAATGATGCTCGAGATGGTTCAAGTTCGTATAGCAACAGGCGTGACCAGAGTGGTTTGAATGGCTGTTGTACTGCGATGTGGAAAGCAAATGGAAAAACTACCACATTATCACTTTTCCTGGATAGTCTCTTTCCAAAAACAGAAGATCGCATTAAGTGGAGAAACTGTTTTGGAAGAGACTGTGGACCTGTCGTCTGAGAGATTACTGATGATGATGATGATGATGATGATGTCTTTCAATATAGGGACAGATTTATTTTATAATTCTAATGTATGATACACACAGAGATAATTTGGGGATTGTTCATATTGCTGGGGCAGTGAAATGAAAGAATTATGATGTTCTGGACAGATGTTTCGCACTATGATGATTACTCCTTGGATATAAATTTGGCATTGTTCGTGCGTGATTTCACACATTTCACATCAGTGCCATAGTGCTTGGGAGAACTTAAGTTTCGTGAACACCTTTGTAGTATTTGAAGAGTTCTGTCTTCTGGAATACAACGCCATGTAGTCTGTTCAAAATAACCGATATTTCAGAGGAACATGTCCCCTCCATTTTCAGGATCAAAGAATAAGCCAAGCCAGAAAGCAGCATGAAAAAAATAGCAATCAAAGTCTACTTGCTACCTGTTTCATGGTAATTACATAGGGTTGAATTTGGTGCCAGAAGATTCCTTCATATATTGTTACCTGTATACAAAAGTACACAATGTCATACCCCAGAAGACCGCTGTCCTACATTAATAGAACTTACATAATTTTCAAACTATAATTCACTATTGGGATGACCATGTACCACACATGAAAGATGAGCAATATGCCACAAAATTGTAAATTGATGTGTGAAAGGGAAGAAATGACTTAGGAGATCTAAGTACAAACCGAATGATAATGTATTAAAATTGAGGTCAGTGAAATAGTCCAATGATGTGAACTGCATTCATGTAGTTCAGGATAGGGACCTGTGGTGGGTTACTGTGAACACAGTACTTAATCGTCCGCTTCCATTGATTTGCTGAGCAGCTACTCGTTTCTCAAGGACTCTGTTCCGTGGAAATCATCATTCTTTTCCTGAAAGCGCCCTGATGGTACTTTATATTCGGCGCACGACTGCCATATTGATATTATTGATAACTGAATTTAAAAACAGCAAACTGGAGAGGTCTCCAATAACTGTTCATATCGCGTTTTCCGAACGTCTTGCAGTTTACGCCTGCATTTGAATCAGCAGGCAGACAGTCATAGACACAAGCAGCTCTTATGTTCTATGTTCCGTTAAACCATTCAAATGCGACATGTTCGGGATATAGCGAGGCTTTTGGAGAGAATAAAATGCTAGAATGAAGAAACATCGAAATCGAGTGAATGTAATCCCTTCATACTCGGGAGATCTTGGTTTCAAATCTCAACCCGGAAACCGGCTATCCTGACGTGGTTTTCGTGGTACTTCTCAGTCCTTGTGGCCGCATGCTGGGACAGTAGACTTACTTCATATTAGGCCATTACCGATTCCTTCCACGTTATTTCCAATAAACTATTCACTAAACCTCTCATTTGTCCCTATAAAGTCTGAGGTACTGACAGTACCGTCCACTAACCTCATGGA